CTCCAGTTGTGTGACTCATTCCACCATGAATGCTAAGACCTATCCCAGTGTGCTGGGATTTTTTTTTTCCCAGTCTTTCCTACTTCACCTTGAATGACAGCTGGCATGGGATTCACTCCTCCTTGTTGACCAGTGCCCATGTCAGCATAGCAGCCTGGTACATTTTGTGTCTCCCAGCACTTCCATCTCTGCAGCAGACTGTCTCACCCACTGTCCAAGTGTCCACATCCAGGACAAGCCGAGTCTGACCTGGGAGTGGCTGGGAGGAGACTGGTTTGCAAAGCAGGTGTGTCCTGCAGCCTGGGCAGCAGCTGGGGGTGCTTCCTGGATACGGTATCTCCCCATGGTCACAAGTCTATGCAGGCTTCCTGATCCTACTGCTATTTCAGGTTCTCAAGAGCAGAGAAGGAACAGGTAATACCATACTTTCCATAGCTGTGATTTCAGGAACTCTTTTATCTATTCGTTAGAGTCACTAAAGAGTCTGCTGCTTGCAGACCTGCAGTCCTGTGAGCTATGACAGTCCTACGTGCTCCATCATTTTTCAGATCCTCCATAAAACATGGAGAACAATAAATGTTTTTCTACAGCAGAGGCTGCTGTTCATCTCTGGCCTGAGCAATTCTTACAAATGGAAAAAAACATCCAGACATGCTCTAGGTAAACTCACTGTAGAATGCTTACTGCTCATTCCTGGCTAATATTTTAATCCTACCTAGTTGAAAGTATCTTTGGAATAGCAGGATGCAGAGTTTTGCTTTATTTAGCAACTCCCTACCCTGTCCTGCAAGTTTTTCCAACACCTGCAACTCTGTCCCACTGTCTGTGCCTTCCTGAAGGGGACTGACTCTTATGTGTTAATGGGTCTTCCCTTCAAACCCCTGGATCCTCCTTGCCCTTGAAGGCAGCACACCCCACAGCTATTAGAGCAGGATGCTGTAATCTCTCACCTGGAGAACTTCAGGTTGTTGTGGACAGCTCAGTGCATTCTCATCTTCAAATCAGCTTATCCCTTTGGGTTTGCTTTGGATTTCTTGATAAAGTGAGATCAGTTTCTGCCTTCCACCTGGCAGACTGAGCTTATAGAGGTCTTCCTTCTTCCTGGAGCTGAATCCTTCATTCCCTGGCAGTAGGAAGACCTTTTTTGAAGTCTCCCAGGTTGTTTGCTTTGACTGCTGGGTGATCAAGCAGCTGGACGGTATCCCTCAGAAAGGACTTGTGGCTGCCCAAGAACCAGGTGCGAAACAGCGGCGGTGACCCTCCCCCCAGCCAACACGGCACGCTGTTGTGGTTCAGCCGCTTCAGCAGATAAGCTGTGCAAGGTTTCCTCTCCAGATATTTGCCATGAAGTTATTTGGCATTTGCATCTTCAACAAGCACAGCATTATTCTTTACGCAGCTTT